ATAAATCTTTACATAACATTAATTAACATAATCTAAATAACATAATTCAAATAAAATAATTTCATACAACTAACAACCATATACAAAAAATCAAATAATGTCATTTAAACAATAACAATAATTAACTTTACAGTGGCTTATTGATATTGAATTAAATAAAGTTAATGAAAACATTTTGAACTATGAAATATTTAAACTCAGAGTAATATTAATATTAGTTTTTTTATTTATTTTGAATTTTTTAAAACCACTTTATTTATCACTAAATATATATATTATCAAATATTTTAAATTCTTAAAGTTTTATATTTTCAAAAAATAAATGTTACGTTAAAAAAAAGTTAAGTTAAGCTAAACAACATCCAGTTTTGCAGTCACAAACCTATAGAAAAACACAAAGTGATATTTATATTTATGCATAAAGCCTCAAAATTTTTATTTTTATTTGATTTTCAACAAAAAGAACCTAATAAATCAAGTTCGTAATTGATCTGTATAACAATCCCATTTCTTTCTCTTAACTAACACCATTATATAATAAATTCATCAATATTTAACTTTAATTATAGACTAAAGATACAAGACTCTGGACAAGGCAACTATGTGATTTGATCATTTAAGTGTTGCTAATGTAATTTGGCCCCCCTACTGGAGATATAAAAACCTATGCAAGTAACTCCAACTGAGATGGATCAAGACTCCATCCAACCACAAAGATCAATTTAGCATTAAGGATAGAAATATTTTGTGTATAAAAAATAAACCGCATTTCGTTTTTCATTGTCATCTAGTGTTAAACTATAGCTCGGGTACAAGGACTATGAATCCTGCTTCAATCTATTCAAGCTAACTAAAAAAAGGGCTAATTAAAATGTGCCAAGTTCCATGGACACGCCGATGGGAAGTCAAATAGAGCAAGAAGTAGAGGGAAAAAAAAAAAAAAAAAAAAAAAAAAAAAAAAAAGGCATACTCATTTAGCAGCATCCGCCCCCATCATCAGATTCCTCCTCATCTGATGAAGCTTCTTTCTGCTGCTCCGCTACTTCGTTGTTTACTTTACTCTTTTTCTCCTTCCTTCTCTGCTTTTTCTTTTGGCGTTTCAAACGTTTTTTGGCTGTGCGTTCCTCTGTGGCTTTCAATCTCTCTTCTCTTCTCATATTGAATTCTGCCAGCTCTTTCCTTTTTTGGTAGTCAGCATCCATCCTTGCAAGCCGGTCTTGCTCTTTCCGTCTCATCTGCCGATACTGTGGCAAGCAGAATTGCAGAAGATTACTAAAAGTCATATAACAAGTCCAATAGCACCAAACCAGTTATAACTTCTGTCCAGATTCTTGTCCTCTGACCCTAGTGAAAATAAATGATGACAACAGATATAATTTCACGTTCAAATAGGTACAATGACAATCTAGCCATAGGTAAAAATAAACCCATCAGTCAAATGTGCTTTTAATTATTACAATAATCATTAAATACAAAATGGTTATCTACATTTCTAATCTCTTCATGGCTCACCTTCCTCAACTAAAGTATTCAGTTCAAGCCTTCTTCCTAATGAATGGTCAGCCAGATCCTTTTGTGGCATCATTTTATCTGAAAAATGCTTGAAGGGGCTAGGAAAGCAGATACTAAATTCAAACATGCAGAATATGAAGTAAAAAAAATTCTGAAAAAAATCAGATGAAAGTGTCACCAATGCTTAAATTACCACCATTTGAGGACAGTTAGATACTAGAATCTACGAGCAATAAGCTCAAACCAACCAGAATTTCTGCAAGTAACCGTTGCAGATAATTGACATAAGACATGACTTACAATAACTCACCCAGTTCCAAAGCCAAATACAAGGTCAAATACCAGAGAGACACACACACACATACGCACACACAAAGAGAAGAAAACAACAACCAAGTTCAAGCAGGAAAAATTAATCAAGAATCTGACATTTTGTCCATAGTCCCAAAACAATCTCATCTATTCAACAATGACAGAAAACAAGGCAAAAGATAACTGAAAATGCTACCCTCTTCTGCTAACCATAACACACTTGCTTGAAATTAAAGTAAATCCTTCAAGCAATTAAGATATATGCATGGTTAATGGCCAATATTCAGTATATCACCCAACTCACACAACAATATAATACACATACACGTTCGTGAACAAAGAAGTTTTGAATAAGACAACAATGACCTCTGCCATGACCAAGTAACAAAAGAAGAGGAAACACTTCATTGCCTCCGATCTGATTTGGTTTCCTCATCATAGCAAAATCAACACACTGACTACAATTTAGAGTACTATTCATTTAATATCATATGAAAATATCAAATTCCAGTAAATTTCTCATAAGAACTACATAATCACTTTTCCTTCAGAATGTTTTCCAATAGCTACAACACTTATCTAGATCCACCAACTACCCTGGATATCATGAATTCAACATTAAATTCCCCAAGTCATACAGCAGAAAATAACAGCTATCTACTTTCAGTTCAAACAGCAAAACTATCCTCCAAATAATAACCCAAAGAAAAAACTTGAATAGGCTTACATATAAACTAATCTTCTAAAAATAAGAGTATCACTAAATACGTGATATCTAAAAGACAAATTAAATCTTCTAAAAGATAAGCTTCGGATAACTATATGATATTTAATTAAGAGAGAAATCTTATTTGAATTCAAAATAACAAATAAAATAAATTATGCTTTTTATATTAATCTTTTAACAGACTGAACTTGAAGATCAGAACAGTTGAGAACTAGATCATAGAATACCTGGTGGAAGTCACCAGAGCCCGAACCCGCAGAACTACCGGACGTGTTACTGACGCGGACAGGAACGTTTTCTATAATACGTCTGAGCTTAACCTCCAGATCCTCCTCCTCTTCCTCGAACACCGGACCAGTGTACTCCACAATCGCCGTGGATCCCCCAGCCACCATCGCCGGTGCCAAGGACATTGGATGACGCGGCGGAAGACCCGGTTTCTGCTTCTCCGCCGCCATCACAACCTGCATGTTCGCCTCCTTCGGCCTCTCCGTCGACATCGATTTAGACCCTGAAACCCTAATTTTAAGGGTTTTCTGTTCCCGAACAGTGGTTTTTCTCTGGGGTTCTGGGTTTTGTCGATAATTGAAAAGTATTCACTTGGATTTCTTGCTAGCGACTATGGCGTCACTGTAGCGCCCATTTTGGTAGCCAGCGAAAAGTTACAGGCTTTTCTAACGATTAGTGTCGTAATATGAGTTATATGTATCTGTTAAGTATTTCCCTTACATCTTTTGACGTGATTGATCAGGAAGATGTTTTTTCAATTTCCTAGGTCTATTAGGTGTATTTTTAGACTTGTTACAATTTGGTTGTCTATAAATATTTCTTCTTCATTTAGGAAATCAATCAATGAATTTGAGAGAAATTTTATTTTAGAAAGGAGTCAAATCAGATTTTTGGTTTCTTAGAGCGAGAATACATCGTTGACAGTGGGTAGAACATAATCCTTATGGGTTTTTATCATTTTGGTATTGGAGCTTTACTTTTAAAATTAAGGTTAATCTTTTATTTAGTTGTCGTTTATTTTATTATATTTAATTTGGTATCTGCTTCTAAATATCAAATATTAATTCATCTAGTCACTATCTTCTTCCATCTATTCCTAAATTTTGATTTTTTTTTCATTTGATTTTTTTGCATTTATAATGCAAAGAAATGTGTAATTTTGATTAAAAAAAGAAAAACACAAAAAAGCCAAAAAAAAAAAAACAAAAACAAAAGAAAGGAATTTGTCATCACAAACAAAAACATAAGTGGTATCTAATTTGAGATTTTCTTTTTGGAATTGATTGCTTTAAAATTTTGTCTCTAAAAAGTTAATTCAGGTTGTTAATTTTTTTTCAAGCTTTTTTTTTTTTATTTGATTGTAATAAATTTTGACGCGGAAGTCATTTTTATTGAATTCAATATATTTTTAAAAAAATAAAAATAATATAAAGTTAAAACTACATAATACTCGAAAATAATGCAGATGTAATTTGATTGAGAGACTAATTGATAAAATTTTTATTTCTCTTACTTCTTATCTCTATTTAACTATTATATACAAAAAGTTTGAAACTTTAGTTGATGAAATATTCTTATAAAAAGAGAATTTGTGCTTCTTTTATATATGAAAGAAGATGTCAAAATACATTTATTACAATTGAATATGTTGATAATCGTTTCTATTATTATACTTTAATTTTTATAAAATATAATAATTGTATAATTTATTTTAAGATTACTCACTCCATCAATGTATATTTTTTATTTATAACATTATTTATTATTTCAAATCTCTTTTCAATTGACTGCAATTGTTATGAATGAATGAGAAAAATAAAATATCAAGTTAGTGAGTCATCTACTTAATTACTGGAATTAACATTAATATCCTTGTCTCTTTCATTTTCTTCCTTGATTTCTTTTCCTTTTCGTGTCATTTCCCTTACTTCTAAGTGCTTAGTTGAATTTTATAAGCATGAGTTAATCTTTATTTGAGTTTGATTAATTCTTAAAGAGCTAAAAAAAATGCTTAAGAGTGGAAAAAGACAAGAATGAGTAAGCTCATCTTGTGAAAAAGCCTAAAAGAGTGAAAACTTAAGTGGAGGGAATTCTTGTGAGGACAAACATATGAGGGAGGATGTGAGGTTTATTTTTCACTAATGTTTTCTCACAGCTTTTAAAATGTCCACAAATAAGGAAATATTAAACAAAGAAGATCAATGGAATATGGCCTTTGTGACAAACACAATGCCACAATAATTTGAATGCTTAAACGTGGTTTTCATCAAAATCCTAATCGTAGAGGCATGATCTTGTCAAGTGGAAGAGTGAAAACAAAGAAGATTATGAGTTTGATTTTGAAGTGGGTAGAAATAAAACTAGAAGAGTTAGGCGTGCAAGGTGGTCTCTACGACAAATGTGTTAGATAAGAACCTTGGAAACATCAAATTAAAGATATCCTCTTTTCAAGGTATAAATAACCATGAAGCTTATCTAGAGCGAAAAAAAAACGTACTTAATATTCGATTGACATAATTACTTAGAATAAAAGAAAGTAAAATTTGGCAATTAATTGAGTTTATTAATTATGAAATCATATGATGGAATCAATTAATGTCAAATAAGTGAAGAAATCATGAGAGGCATATAGAAACTCGGAGGGAAATGAACTTTTTTTTTTTGTTTTTTTAATAAATTACATTGCACCTAGCCTACATTTGTATAATATATATAATCTGTCTTTTTTTTTTATTTTTATCTCGACTTTACTATAAATCACTTTTTTTTGCTTTGAGAGTATCTTTACACCTAAATAAATAGAGATACATAAAATTAGAGCATAAATGAGGTAAAAATAAACAAGGTTCACCCTAAAATATAGAACAAAAATGAATGAAAAACTTTTTTTAATTCTCCTTTTCATTTTCCTTCACTTTGGTTATCCCTTTTATATCTCTCAATTTCTTTTTACATCCCACCAGAGATTATGTTGTTCCGATATTCTTATGGTCGAAAGAGGTCTTTAAAACATGTGGGAAATTTTAAACCCCAAAGTTATGCTCAGTTACGTCCTTTTTAGATCAGATCTTATGTTGCCAGCCATCCTTGATCTTTTTGTCCAAAAAAACTCCATAATTGACTTTACTTTTTGGATAGAGGTCTATCATAAAAAAAAAAAAGACTCTTCCCGAACTTCACTTTGTGCCCTTTCTTTTTTCGATTTTGGTTCACCTTGTTATTTGGCCTAATTGCCTATCTTTTTTTTCTGTCTTTTTTCCTCTTCGATATACATGTAAAATCTCGAATATATATATATATATGTATATAAATAAATTAATAGATAAATGACAATAAAATACTAAAATAAAAGGAACCTTATAGGAAAAAAAAGTAGAGAGTTAACGTGAGAGAGGTTAGCGTGAGAGAGGGCAAGGCAGAAAAGGAAGGTCAAAGGGAGAGTTGGTAGCCGAAAGGGAAGGAGAGAGAGAGAGAGAGAGAGAAAGAGAGAGAGAGAGAGAGAGAGAGAGAGAGAGAGAGAGAGAGAGAGAGAGAAAGAGAGAGAAAGAGAGAGAGAGAGAGATAGAGAGAGAGATGTGGCGAAACAAAGATATAGCAAGAGAGAGATGCACTGGAGGAGAAAAGAAGAAGAAAAGAAAAAATAAAGAGGAAGAAGAAGAAGAAGAAAAAGAAAAAGGAAAAAAAGAGGAAGAAGAAGACAAATAAAAAGCATATTGACATGCACAAAAAAGGAGGGCTAGATCCATGACAACCAAAAAACACCACGCGATCAGCCCTGTATGCATGGTAAAGAAGAGGCCGATCAAAGCAACAGTGTGACCGTGCTCGCAATGAAAGAGAAGAATCAACACGATGGGTAAGGGTGGTGCGACGACTGAAAGATAGGTCTACACATGGAAAGAGAAAGCCATGATGGCCGGATCGCATAAAGGTCAGATCTCGGTAGCTTTAATGAGATCCGTTCTAGATCTAGGCGTGTTGCAATTTTCATGGCGATTTCCAGTCATTCTTGACACGGCATGTTGGTTTTGGTGATGGTGTGTATTTGTTCTAGTGATGACGCATGCGGCATCATGTGGCAACTTTGATGACACAGGCGTGACGGTGCGTGTGATGACGCGTGGTGACTCCAACTATCCAGAACTACGTGTCCAAGGTAAAAATCCATTCTCCCTTTGTATTACGTTTATTTTCGAAACTAATTGTTTTTTAATATGCGTGTTCCTTATTTGTAGATGAGGGGAACTCTCCAGACAGTAACTAGAATTAAAGAGGATTGTAGACTCGAACCCAGTAAGCATTTTGGTACCTTTTCGAATCAGGCTTTAGTTACAGATACTCTAACCTCCTCCATGTTTGCTTAGCCGAAGCCTTAGCCCTAAAATAACTAATCTATGATTTATTTTAAAAATAAATAAATATTCTACGCAGGTGCCGATAAAGCCTATTAAAACTATTTATATGTGTCTTGATTTATATATTTGCTTATGCAGATTGTTATCTCAAAATATGTATTCTATTTTTATTTCATGTATACTTGTTTTGATTTTGATTATGTTTGATTTGTAATATTTTACTACTATTAATAGGTAGTATTGAATGTTTTAAGTTTATATGTGCACGAGTGCAAAAAGGGTGTGTGTGCAGGTATTGGAAAACATAAATAATATGGGGCTTTGTGTGTACTGCAATTATGTGTTTATGAGGTGAACTAGGTAATGTGGTGGGCATATGATAGTGGGTGTATGATGAATGGAAAAATGAGGTCCAAAGTATGAATAAAAATTTAGGAAAATTAAGGGGCAAGAGATTAAAAATCTTATGAATACAATAAACACTGGGAGTTGATGATACACGCCTTAGAGGTTAAAAATAAAAGCATAGAATAGGAAGGGTTTAATAAAATTTAGAGTTGCAAAGGTAGAAAAAAGGGTCATCCAACAACAAATAAAATTTAGCATTAATTAAGGGGTTGGAAAATTAGTAAACTAGTAAAGGAAAGATGAAAGTTAGAATATAACTACAACATGAAAATAAGAACTAAGAAGATTGAATAAATTATTTGAAGAAGTAAAGAATGAAGAATTAAGAGTAAAATTGGATGGGTCCTGATAAAGGACAAGGAAATCAGCTTAGCAGGACAAACAAATGAACCCTATTGTGGATACGGTATTAGCCAGTCATGATTTCAGTTATCAGAGCTCATATGGGTTGGGGTATAAGGACAGCTGGTAACTGTGGCACCTATACAGGTTGAGGAATAAGGATGGTCAATTTTTAAGATGCTCGCATGGGTTTGGGTATGAGGACGGTCGATGAATGTGGTGCCCATACTGGTTGGGGTATGGGAACAATCGATTTTTATGACGCTTATACAAGTTGAGGCATGAGAATGGTCAATTATGGTGGTGTTCATACAGGTTAGGGTATGAGGACGACCAATTGTTGTTTATTATCCACATGTAAAGGGGATTATGAGTCCTAAATAATACTAATCAACGATATCGCGCGATGAAATATGAGAAGTAAATAAAACTTTAATTCCAAGGTAGAATGATAAAGGATGAATGATTTGATTTGATTGAAATGTTTGGCTTCTAAAATATATGCTTTGGACTATTATTATGGATAATGAAATGTTTTTATTTATTGTCGATGGGAAAAATGAAAGAGTTTTTATGTTAAAAACAAATGTTATGAAAAATATAATCCACTGATAGTTTTAATGTTTTTTATAATGCTTTTAAGTTATTACAATCTTGGTTATTATATCTTTACTGAGCTAATGTACCTCATCCTATTCATTACCTTTTTTTTTTTACAGATCAGGATGTCCAAGATCCCTCTCCTAAGTAGTGATGGATTTGCTAAGAACTTTTTTATTTTGTTTTATAAAGAAGTGGAGGATTATTTACTTTTTTAGTTGTTGGCACTTATTTTAATTTTTTTTTTGAAATTTCGTTAATCGTAATTGCCTTATAATTTCGTATTTAAATTATGAAAACACATGCAAGGGATGTTTATGGAAATATTTATTTAACTTGCTCTGCTTATTTAAATATTTTCTTTTGACTCTGTTAGTTGGTAATCGTGTGTGTACGTTCGAGATCTAAAAAAAGGTCAGGACGTTACAGTTGGTATCAGAGCATACATTCCTCAGAGTCATCCCTTGTATCATGAGGTTTAGGATTCTTACGAGGTTTAGAGCCAAAAGAAATTAAGTATTATGAACCTTAGAAGATGTTTTGGAATTTCATTAGAAACATCTGTGAATATAAAAAGTGAGATTAGAAATTTTATGAATACAATAAACACTGGGAGTTGATAATACTCACCTTAGATGTTAAAAATAAATGAAAATAGTAAGAAGAATTTAAATAAACGTCTAACAATAAATAAAATTTAGGAGAAAGACAAGGTGTCAAACTAATTATATAAATAAAATTTAGCATTAATTAAGGGTTTGGAAAATTAGTAAATTAGTAAAGGAAAGATGAAAGTTAGAATAGAACTACAATATGAAAATAAGAACTAATAAGGTTGAATAAATGATTTAAGGAAGTAAAGAACGAAGAATTAAGAGTAAAGTTGAATGGCTCTTTAAAGGTCAAGGAAGTCAGCTTAGCAGGATATAAAGTTTAATGGGTCCTTTAAAGGTTAGGAAAATCAACTTAGGGGGACATAAAGTTGAATGTGTCCTTTAAAGGTTAGGAAAATCAACTTAGGGGGACATAAAGTTGAATGTGTCCTTTAAAGGTTAGGAAAATTAGCGTAACAGGACAAACATGTGAACCTTACTGTGGTTATAGTATTAGTCAGTTATGGTTTCAGTTATCAGCGCTCATATGGGTTATGGTATGAAGATGACTGGTAACTGTAGCGCCCATACAGGTTGGAGTATGGAGACGATCAATTTTTATGACGTTTATATGGATTGGGGTATGAGGATGGCCGATGAGTGTAACACTCATACAGGTTGGGGTATGGGGACAATCGATTTTTGTGATGCTCATACTGGTTAGGACGTGAGAACAGTCAATGATGGTGGCACTTATATAGGTTGGGGTATAAAGATAACCAATTAATTTTTTTTATCCATGTAACATCCTAACACCTTCGTGCTTCAATGTGGTTATGTAAAACTCTTATTTATTCGATTCTTAAGGTCATTAACTATTTAATTTAATATTTTAAATATGCATATTTTTAGAATTTATTTAAAATTATTTTATTTATATGATTTTATAACTAAGTTTTGATTTTTAGAAAAAATAAAGAAAAAATGGCAGAAAAAATCCCTCGGGAACCACGAGAAAAATCCCCACTTGTGCGGGCCCTTGCGTGCTGCGCACATGCATGCACACGTGGCCAACTGGATGTGCGCCTGTGCGCACGTCCCATCCACGCAACGCGTGAGGCTCACAGTGTGCGTGCGATCACAATGCACGCGCCTGTGTGCGGGCTTGCATGCCCAAGCGCCTCGGGTTGTGCTCGCTACCCCTTAAAAGACGTGCATCGTCCTTGGGAGGCGTGCACCATCCTTGGTCAGCATGCCATCGTCCCTCGGTTAACGTGCCCTAATCTTTGTGCCAAGTCATCACATCATCATCTCGTTAATTATTCATTAGTTATGTCCGTCAATCGTCGTGTCGCGTCACATCATGTCGGTCAACTTTTTCTCCCTCTCTCCTTACAGATTCGTGCCACTTGACAAAAATATAACGACCCATTTTCTCTATAAATAGGGGCCCTTTCCCCACAATTTATTCACATTTCCTCTTCATTTTACTTCTTTAAGAGTTTCCTAGAGAGAGATAGAGAGAAAGAGAGAAAGAAAGAATAAAACGAAAAAAGAAGAACTTAAGAACTCTTCAAACTTTCGATAAGGGAAATCTTGGTATTTTTTTGTACATTCTAATGGGCATTTCTAGAAAAATTAATTTGAAATATTGCATGTTTTAGTAAATTTTTAAGGTTGATAATTAAATTGTTAAATGATACGACTATGATGGAATATTAGTGATGCATGAGATACTATAATTTTCTCATTAAGATGTATGAATATTTTATGAAAATAGACATGTAGGCCTAACACCGTAATATTTATGCATGACATTTACAATGATATAATCCGTTAAGCTATTATCTCTGAGGGGTTCTATTTCTCCCCTATCTGATATAAAAAGACGTGTAAGGACTACTCCCTATGGATGACGACATACCGTTTGATGAGAGTAGTTACACAATATGATTTGTAGGGCTACTATAGCGATGTATGGCCATGGTTATAGTTTATATGTAAGATCACTGTGGTTGCACGATCGTGGTCATAAAGTGTGTTTTGGTTTGGTACGCCGTAAATGTGTTGTAGTTTGGCAAGTCATAAATATGTTGTGGTTTAGCAAGCTGTAAATGTGTTGAGATAAAAATAACTTTGTCATTCTACCGTAGTAGTCGAAAATCTTTATTACCCTCAGGAGATATATGACAGAACAGTTTCGCATGAAGAATAAGTAAAAGATGAAATAAGAAGTCATAGTATGATTCATATTTGTTCGATTTTCTCTATTCTATGCGTAGTTGATATAAATGTCTTTATGTTAACAATTTTTAAATAGAATAAAAATATTTTCTATATCATTGAGATGGGCTCACATGCAACAATCTTTGACGGTAAGTAGTTAACGGTATATTTTCTTAAATTTTAAGCACATTTAAAATCTTAGTAATGTTGTTTAAATATCATTTCACTTACTGAGTTTATAGAACTCACATCTTTTCATGTCCCTCTTCCTAGATACGAATGATAGTGATGACCTACTTGTCGATTTACCAATCGAAGTTTTTGAGGATCCCATGGATCCTTGAGATGATACGAGTTCATGTTTTTGGCATCAGTGATGTAAAATTTGGAACTCAAATTTTACTTTGTAAGAGATTTGTAAAAAATTTATTTCGCTACATTTAATTTATTTTAATGCACTTGTAATCTATTTCTATATCTGACTCCCTTATGCTACATTTAGCATTTGGAATGTCACAATCCACATGTAGAGGTGATTCTTATGAGTCCTAAATAATACTAGTCAATGGTATCATTTTATGAAATATTAAAAGTAAATAAAACTCTACGTCTAAGATAAGATGGTAGAGGATGAATGATTTGATTTAATTGAAATGTACGACTTCTAAAATATGAATATGCTATGATGACTATTGTTATTAATAATGAAATGTTTTATTTATTGTGTATAGGAAAAATGAAAGAATTTATAAATTAAAAACATATGTTATTAAAATTATATTCGATCGGTAGTTTTACTGTTTTCTACACGTTTTGATGAGCTATTACGGTCTTGGTTATTGTATACTTATTGAGCTAGTGTAGAGATAATGTGCATAAATAACATCTTTATTATTTATTTTGAATGCTTAATTAGGCTACTTACTATCTAATTTGAGTAATTTTTTTTTTTGTTTTGGTGTAGGTTGAAGGATAAAACTCAAATTCAGACAAATAGTGCAGCAGGAGCAGATTCTTTGCAGAAGCAGCTATTAGTTCTAGTACAAATCTCGGGTAAGACTTAAACCTCAGTAAGAGCAGTAGATTTTGGTTCACGCATAACCAAGCTTTAGGCAAGGTTTGCACTTTCGTGGTAGCAAAAAACACCAATTCACGCATAAATAACCCTTAGGCACGTCCTAGTAGCGGAAGTAGGCATAAAGACACACACAGACAAGCCTTGGCCAAGGCTTAGACTCTAGCAGCAGTAAATATTAATATCCTGGAATGCTTTTAAATTTAAAAGAAAATCATGTTACAACCAGGAAGTGGGAAATCAAATCAAGTAAAAGATAATTTTGGAAAACAAAAAAAAAAGTCGAAATCACCATAGAAATCCTATCTTCACAATTGGAAACTCTGATCATGTCGATCTTTAAATAGGAAAAAAAACATAGAAGAAAGGATTGTCGACAATAGTAGCAGATTGGGTCTTTCTGAAAACATAAAAACATTATTTTATGTATTGAGCTCATCATGATTGGCTGAACAAATATTTTTTCCAGTTAAAGATTAGTTGAAATTCCAGTTTGGGATTATGAGATCTAACTATTTTTATTCTTGTTATCGTTTGAGCTTCAATATTTATATATCTCGATATAGATATTGTTATTGTTGTTTTTTGATGATTTAATAGGGCCCATTGAGCATGCAGTATAGCAGCATATTGCCATTCAAACTCCTAAATCCGTAATAGTTTAGGTTGATTTGATGATTAGTGTTGAATTAGTTTCATACTAAGAGCATATATAATCTAGTTTAAATGAGTCACGCGGTTGAATTCATTTATTAAAATAAGGTCCTTCTAGATTTTAATATTGTTAATAAACTAAACTCTATGAGTGTCTCTGTAGTTTTTTATTAACAAGAATTAGTCAACAAGCATCTTTTGGTTAATTTAGGATTAAGGAAATATTGATTGTAAGGAGTGTCTCTGACAATTAGAATTGGTTTATTAAAATTTAAAGAAAACAATTAGTGCATCAATGATCAATCTCGTAACTTGAATCAAAACTATTCTTTAACTAGAATTCAATTATAACTGCTTGCTATTTTAATTACTTGTTGATAATATTCTTTACCTTTCAGTTTTAAGTTTCGTTGATTCACTTTAATTCTTTATCTTACATTAAACTTCCAGCTTTGTTTTATCACTAGCCATAAAAAAAGAGTGGTTCTCAATTCCTTGAGGCTTCGATCCTAGTTGTCATTGCTACAAGTTTTAATTTGTTCTTAGAATAGAAAATTATTTTTGGTAGCTCACCCTATTCATTATTTATTTATTTTTTCCGATCAGGACATCTAGGATCCCTTTTCTGAGTAGTGAAGGATTTATTAAGAAATTTTCTATTTTGTCTTAAAAAGAAGCAAATGATTATTTATTTTTTTAGTTGTTGGCACTTATTTTAATATTATTTTTTGGAATTTTATCAATCATAGTTGTCTTATAATTTGGTATTTACAATATGGAAACACATACAAGGGATGTTTATGGAAATATTTATATAACATGTTGTGACTATTTAAATATTTCTTTTTGCTCTGTTAGTTGAAAATGATGTGTGTACGTTCAAGATCTTAAAAAAGGTTCGGGACGTTACAATACAGGCCTCTAAGCACTTTTCTGAGCTTTTTTTTTTAATGTTAACCTCAAGGCAATAATCATCCTCTTTTTCCTCTCAATTTCCTAACGTGTTGTAGTCATCATTGGCCTTTGGCTCTTTCTTATTACAAGTGACTCAAAAAAGAGGAAAAAGAAACCCTAGTTTTTTCTTCTTTCCACATACTCGATGGTTGAATGAAGATTTATAAGGTTATCTGAAATGAAACAACTGATATCTTGGGCTTAATTTAAGAGTGTAAATGAGCTCATTTACATGTGTTTCGACTCAAATTGAGAGGCTACAATGTTGAGTTTGCGTTTGAAATATGTTTGGGTTCATTTAGCCTAAATAAAGGGTTTGGATTGCGTTTTAGAAAGTTTAGGCTAATAGATTAAGAGGGTTGTATTTCTCATTTCTTTTTTTCTTTCTCAATCTCTTTTTCCTTTTCATTTCTCTTCCATTTTTCTTTCTTTTTCTTCTTCTTTTTCTTATTTTTCTCTTATGTTTTCTTTCCTATGCTCTTTTCCCTTTGTTCTTTATTTTTTTTTTCTCCTTGTTTTTCTTTACAACAAAACCGAAAAAAAAAACAATAAAATAGATAAATCAAAAGTTGTAATAATTATTATTATAATTATGAAAATATAAATTGTACACAAATTAAAGTTTTTTATTTAATTTTTTCAATTTATCATTTCATGAAATTATAGTTGTTATTATTATTTTTTGATTGGTTAAAATTCGGATGTCATAACTGTAAACAATAAATTCGGAATGTGTTAATAAATTAATTAATAATTATACTTTTAAAATTAAAACTTAATTATGGTATGATGAAAATTTCTCTTACCTCATAGAAAATGATATATCGGAATGCGTTAAGCCACGCGTACGTTGTCTGATTGCATGTCAACGTGGCATGTTCTCATTGGGTAAAGAGTTCCAACAATATAATTTCTCCACGGAGCCGGATAACTTTCTTCACTAGCCGTTTCTTCTTCCACTTCCAAAATTCATTTCTCAAGAGCTCAAAAATCAACAGTTGATTTGAAACCTAACAATACTCATATGTTCTTGAACAGAAACTAATGGAAGCTTTGGCTTTCTCCTCCTCTACAACTGCCATAGCCACATCCTTGGCTGGCAACAGGTTGCCTTTTCCTTCACTGCTCTCAGGAAACGGAATTCGGAGGAGGAAAAAAGGCGTTTCTTTATTGGTACGTGCTTCGGGAGAAGAAAAAATAAAGCTTGACAAATGGGAGCAGATGGAGCTCAAATTTGGTCGCTTACTCGGTGAAGACCCCAAACTTACCTTAGCCAAGGTACCTCTTGTTACTTCTAGACTCAGTTGGGTATTTCTGTTGGCTGGATATGCTTAGTTGCATTTGTGCTATTCCAATTAGTAATGTTCAAGAATCTATAATTCAACTCTGTTATACTCTGTTATTACTTTATTGAGAATGCAATGAAAATTGTTTGTTGGGCTTTTATAATACTGGGTTTGCCTTCTTAGTTCTGGTTTTGCTTGTTTTAGCCGATAATAATGTGTTTTGTTTTGTTAGATAATGGGCAGAAAGGCAAACCCAGATGCTGCTTTTGTTGAAATAGAGAAATCTTTCCATAAGAATGAGGGAAAATTAATTGATATAGAAGATGTTCCATTAGATTGGGACGATGGGAAGAAAAGTTCTTCAGATGGTTTAAGTTTAGTTAGGCCTGTTCCAAAGAAAGGAATCAAGTTTGAAGCTAGTCATAAACCTGCACCAGAGAGAAAGAAACCAAACCGGTTTGTTGGGAATAAGGCGGAGACTACTAAGGGGAAGGCTCCTAATGTTATCTTAAGAAAGCCAACCGTGTTTAATGAGAATGACGTTCAGTATAAGCCATCCAAGTTTAATTTCCAACCAAATTTATCATTGAAAATGAGTAGTGAACAATCAAAGGAGAAATTTAGTGATATGACATTGTTGAGGAAACCTGAACCAGTGATGATTAATCTTGAGAAGAAGCAAGAGGCTTCTTCTGGTAACATGGAGGATGGCTCTATTGATAATGGTAATGAGTTGAAGGTCAGGCAAGTTGGTTATGATGATTTTACTCTATTAGAAAGACCTGAAGCGAAAGCAAAGCTTGAAGAAAAACAAGAGCTGTGTGGAAATGTGGATGCAATAGTTACAGTTGCTACTGAAGGAAAAACTTTGCATGCTACTGCAACTAATGATGCAATAAAGAGTGAAGTTGAAGAACCTGTCAAAATCCCGGATGGTTCAACTCTGAAGTGTTCTGAGGCACAAAATGATGTTGGTAATCCTCTGTTTCCTTATTAAGTATTTTATTAGAGGAATACGTTTTTCACACTAAACAATTCATATAGGTTCTTATGTGCATTTGGGTCAGCAAGAGTTGATTCTAAAGTCCAAGTCTTATCTCAGTGCATTGCTGCCCTTACCTCATTTCTTGAACCAGTCTGGAAAGCTTGATGCTAACACTGAGCTTGGCTTTTGAAGGATTGCAGCCACTTGGGCAGAATACTGAGGAATCTGCACAGGAGACAGCTGTTCTAGGTAATCCATCCGATAAAGATTTTGTTGATCCCAGTGTCCAATTCTCTCTACCAGCCACCCTCCAAGGAAAACCGCAAAGGTTTTTGTGCCTTCCTTCACTTTTGTGTGTAAAATATTTTCCTCTGTATTGGTTTTTCATTAACGAGATACTGTGTTACAGACCATACCAATCTGCAAATGAGACACCAAAACCTACTAGTGAAGACGCAGATCTTTTGACTCTTGAAGGTTATAGGAACTCTTTCGAGCTTAAGAGTCTTCCTTTATCAGCTTCGGAGGTCAGATAATTTCTTTTTTGGTAATTTGTTTCTTTTAGTCAATTACTATGTTGTAATTCTTGCTGTTATATGAAACTGAAGGATACTGATTGGAAGAGGGCAGAAGACCTGCTTAAGAGAAGGGAAAAAGTAGAGGTGGAGCTAATAAGCTCCAGCACAAGAGGATTTGTTGTAAGTGCACCTTATTTTTCTTAATGTTTCTTTGTTCACATTGATATGTTCTTCGAATTTGATCTTTCTCAATTTGGACAATTGTTTTACAGGTGTCATTTGGCTCTTTGATTGGGTTTCTGCCTTACTGCAACCTTGCAGCGAAATGGAAGTTCCTAGCTTTTGAGTCATGGCTGAGGCAAAAGGGATTAGATCCATCTGTATACAGGCAAGACTTAGGAATCACTAAAAGCCAGGATCTCAAGAATGAAAATTCCTCTCTCAATTCTGGCCAAGATCCAGAAATTGAAAGAAAATCTGAGGAAAAAATTTCAGATGATATGAAAGTGGAAGATCTTCTTAGGATTTATGACCAGGAGAAATTAAAGTTCTTGTCATCCTTTATTGGCCAAGTAAGAAGTTGCTTTTGATATCTAAATAATCGCTGTTGATGCTCATATGCTCCATATTTGCAGAGAATCAAAGTGAATGTGGTCATGGCTGACAGAATATCTAGAAAACTCGTGGTTTCTGTGAGGCCAAAAGAGAACGAAGAGCTAGTTGAGAAAAAGCGAAATCTTATGGTAAGGAACTATCGTCAATTGTAACATTCTTTAATTGCTTTCTGATAGAATTTTCTTTCAAAAGATTTCACTCTCATTAAGTGCTTAATTATCATTCACTAGCAACAAGAAGTGTTTGTGTAATTTAAAGTACAATAGATACAGAGCAATTACATGAGACAGCAGTTGGAAGATGCAGTATTTTATGAATATGTGAATATCTTCACTCATGCTAATTGATTAACCTTTTTGATCTTCTTAGGTTGACATATGAAACGGCTAGAGCTTGTTTGGGTCAGTGTCATAACACTTGCTTGGAGCTCTATGTTGTGGATTTGCTAAAAATATTTCAGTGCTTAGGCTCACAAAAGTGAAATGAAATCCCTGTTGAACTATTTATTTTTTAGGTTTCACTGAATGCGACTACTAAAAGACAAGTCTGTTTCTTATTGTGGAATGGATTAGCTACTGATTACCTAAATAGATCAGAAATTACAATTTTATTAAATGTACAACTATTATGTTATCTAGGAGTTGTTATTATAGTTTTAGTAAGTTTAGGATTTTATATTATTAATATTTAGTTTTCCTAGTTATATTAATAGTATTTCTTATTTTATTAGGATTAATATTTTTTATGATATTAGTATTAGTTTCCTATCTTATTAGGAGCAGTATTTCTTGTCTTATTAATTTTATTATTTTTTAGCTTAATATATTTTTGAAAAAATATTTTTTACCTTAATCCTATTTGGTAAAGGTTACTTAGGAAGCATTACAAATATTTCTGTAATTTTATTTCTTTCTGGACATAATTAAGTTATTAAGTAGCATGCTTTGAGAGTTTCTCATTTTTTTGGTTGTATGACACAATCAGACCTTTAAATATAACATTTAAGATTACTTAGATGTGATGTGTAAGGGACACAAAGTATGATGTTTTAGATTTTTACCTCCAAACTCCAAGTAGGTAAACTATAATGTTTCCTGCATAAACTTTCTTCTTTTAGTTTTTTACGTATGTTGTAGTCCTGTATTTGGTTCAGTACGTGTTGAAGACTTGAAAGATGCTTGCAGCTTGTTAGATGGATTTCCTTCCTTTTTGGGGGTTTAGGGATCACTGGGCAGAACCTTTTGGTCTTTGGAATTTGGTACTCTAAACCTTTGATTATAATTATTTTCAATAATTTTATTGACACGATTTTTAGGCATTCTTATAGGCAACCCACATAATTGGCGCCTTAGTTTCTAGGAGCTTGCAGGAACTTATGAAGTCTTGACAGAATTCATAGCAATGTGGATCCAAAATCCTAACTCTAACATTTTTCTAATTCATAACATGATAGATCCAAAATCCTATCTCAATCAATATCTTTTCTAACTAAGCCTAAGTAGACACCTAAACCAAAAAGTGATGCAGAACAAGAAGATATTACTTTGAAATAATTTTTCAATTAAAGAAATTTTTTTTTTGTTTTTTTTTAAATAAATTGAAGAACTTTTTTGCAATAATTTTTATTTTATTTAGGTTATTTAACTTTATTTATGTATTTTAATATTTTATTTCCTATTTTGGTAGATTTTAGGTATCTTAAATATTTATAAATATTTTAGATTTTCTTTTTATAATTTCATTTTTAGTTGTAACTAATACCTTTATAGATGTTATAGCTATCAACAAAGGATAGATAGATGATGATGAATTAAAAGTTCTTTTTATAGAGTTTTATTCCTTGTTATCTCACTCTTATTCATTATTTTGCTCACTATTCTAACTTGTTCAATTTACTTCTACCTACATTTTATCATCTTGATCTACAAATTGACCTATCTATATCCTTTAGTTTCTCATATAAATTTCTTGTTTTCCTAAACTATTTGTGGATAAGTTAGGGATAAGTTATTTTGACTAATATTCATCTTGCATAAAAAAAAATTTCATGCTTAAGGAGAAAAAGAACTTTTCTCTTATTCTTCTGGGTGAAGGGAGAAAAGTAACCTTTTTCCTTCTTGTAGTAGCATTGCTCTTCAATTAAATGATATTGAACATTTTTTCCCATCTTTTAGCTAGAAATGAGTGGGCTATTTCTCTTGCAAAAGATAGTGGTAATAATTATCGAATATTTCGGGGCTCTACGTGCTTTCTGTCGTTTTCCTCCACTAGGTTGAACCAATTTTTTTTTTTTTTTTTGCATTGCTATCCAGAAACATTGGGCTCCTTGACCATTGTGACAACGGGCTTCTAAATCTCTTTCCTCCAACTCCACACTACTTAATTGTTTAACTGGTGGCAGTCTCAGAATTGCTTGCAATATTCATTTTTATATTTGTCCTTGCCACCAAGCTCATGACGTAATTTTCTGTGTATTGCATATTTAATTGTTCTGTGTTTGGGATTGGGTTATGGGTTAACTCAAGTTGAAGTATAACTATTTTAGTCTCTTGATCAAGTGTGACTAGATGACATGGATGATAGTTAAATCCTCTTTGGCAATTTTGACCATTGGTTGTGGGCATTTCCCCACCAAATATCTCATTTAATGGTTGGAGTTTCTTGATGAAGGGTAGTAGGCAGTCATCTATTTAATCATCATAATTTCATGTTGAAGGGTAATTACAAGTTCTGAGTGGCAATTAAATCTCTCTCTCTTTAGTTGTGAATGTTAGTTATGGGTAGTTACTTCTCTCATTAAGTGTTCATGGAGGAGTGTTAGTCTTTCTCGGCAACCAGAGAATCTTCTACGGTCTCTTGTGTGGTTTTTATTATAGTTAGTTGAATAAGAACTCAGCATCCTGCAATAATGTGTCTATTGTGTAAATGCTCCTATACCACCAAACTTTCTAAGTTATCAGGATTTTTTAAACGTCCTTATTTACTTAGAATTCTTACCTTGTTTTATTTTGAGATAAAAAGTGCAAAATATATATTAATAGAGTATCAGGGGGATACCACCCATGTACACAAAATTTACAAGCGTGTTAAGGTGTCAATAACATTCCCAAAATTCTCATCCCTAATATTGTTATGTCTTAACAAAATAAAATCAAAATAATGAAACTATCTATCTCTCAACCTATAAGTCAAAGTCTCTTTACCCTCAAAAGTTTTAAAGTTCTTTTTTTTCCATATGACCCAAAAAATAGTCACTGGATTTAATGAATTCTTGTTTCTTACATAAACAACCTCATGCCTAGATTTCCTACCTAACAGTACCCGCCATCACCCAATTAATTTCCAAAAGCCCATAAATCATGCTCCACAAATCATAAGTCACAAGGCACCACAAAAGGAGATGATTGCAAGATTCTGCCGTATTCAAGCAAAGGTAGCACATGTTGACTAAAATATGGCCTCTGGACATCAACTTGTCAGTGGTCAGTATGCATTCCTTTCTTGCCTCCCAAGCGAAAAAAAAACAACTCTAGGGGGTGCCTTCGAATTCCAGATTTTTTGAGCTGGGTATTTGTGGCTCCTTCTGAACCCTTCCCTCCTAATATGGCTGTAGCAGGATTTAACTGAGAATTTTCCATTCTGATTCAGCTTCCATAGTGCCTGTTCCGGTTCATTATTAATCTGTTGAGAGTCCAGAAGATGCAAAAGAGCTTCATACTCATGAATCTCTCAATCATTCAGAGTTCTAGTAACATTCACCTCCAGGACCCTGGTGCCATTGATTTCCCTGTATGCCTCCTCAACTACCATGTTTCTTGATTGTGTGATTGCAAAACTTCTGGGGAAGTGGCTCATAAGACACCCCCCCATCAACGCCACCATCCAGCCAAAACCTGATTCTGTCACCTCTCCCAATTTTCCACTGGGTACACTCCTCAAAACAAAGCTATTCCAACAAGATTTTCCTCCACAGCCCTAAGCCATACTGTCTCCTAATTCTACCCAAGTCATACTTTACTTGTTTTCCTTTTGATTACTCTTTTGTTCCCTTTCCAACAGCTTTTGATCACAAGAGCAACCTTAAAGTCAAATACTAGGCTCTAGCATATGCTCACAAATTTCTCAATAAGGTAAGGCAACCTTCAAGATAATGTACACTTTGTTGATTTTTATGTGTCCCTCTAATCAAATTGATTGTCAAATATTATGATGATCAAGTTATTGATTAACTGATCAAACCACATGGTTTTGACTTTAAGGTTCCATATATTAAGTGTATCCATAACTCAGATTGCTCTTGGTGAGAGTCATAGTGACGCAGGAGGGTATGAGAAGGATCGTTTTGACTCCCGGAACTTCAATTCAACGCATGCAATTTAGAAACTTAAGCACCTAATTAACTCTCCCTACAACTACCTATATGCATGCATAAACAAGCAATAGGAAAATTTAAAAATGAGGAAAAAGAAGACGCCATGACTTACTCGATAAGTTGATCCCAACTCTTCGGTTCAAAAAGATTTCGAAAAACTCTCTAGTTTCTAAGAACTTGAGGACATTAAGAAAATGAGAAAAAAGCTAATTCTTAAAGAAAGCAAAAAGATTTAATTTATTAATTCTCAAAGTTGTTTTTACAAAACTAGAACTTAAACCTTTATATAAGTTTGTATTTTCTATTTCTAATAGGAATAGGATTTAGAATTCCTATCCAAATTCTAGGACCTAATTTGATTAGAAAACAAATAGATAATTAATTAAATAATTATACTCTTATCTAGTAGACTAATTTAAAAAAATAAGAGAATTAAAATATTTAAAATAGTACTACTCTTCTTTGTAGTTGAAGTTGACTTTCCATACTCTTTTAACTTGTACTCCTACTTGGGCTCCAACTCATCATCCTTGTTTCTTGATTCTTGATGATTTTTGAGTGAGATTTTGTTGTAATTTATCTAAATGTGAAGTCGGATTCTTCAAGAGATCTTCAGCAAGCAAAATTTCTCCTTGGCCGAATTCATAGTACTTCCTGGTTTCTTCTTTATGTTGAATTTTTGCTTTATCTCCTTGATTGATTGTATTGGACTTGGACTCTTCTTTTTCTAGCTTGTACTCTTCCATGGAGATGTGG